GCAGCAGGAATTGCCCCCCACTGGCAGGGTTTTTTTGTGTTTTGGAGGGGTTTTTTTCTTAAAGTTGGGGCTTTTTGTTTAACAAGTACCAGGAGCTGGGGTGGGTGTGGCAGCCATTGCTAGGCTGCGGGGGATGGGCCTGGCTGATTCAAAGATTCAGCAGCAGCTGAATCTCCAAATCAGATTTGGCTGAATCGATTTGGGACACTGATTTGAATCAACAAATCAAATCACTGTTCCCCAAATCGGCCAAAGCCAAATCCAAAGCGAATACTAGCTGCTTCACACAGGCCTAGTGATAAACATTTCTGCATTATTATTAGTCTGAATAATAATAATTTATTAGTTTTCTCTTCAACTAATAATAAATCATGTGAGAGAGAAAGATTGTCCTGTGGTTGGCATAACTCTATACGTCATCTCTTCAATATTCCTCATATCATTTCTTGGCAGTGCTATAGGAAATTTTTCAATGTTTTGTTGATACCAAATAATTTCAACCAACTGCATTGCATTATGCAGTTGGACATACTCTGATATATAGATGTTAGAATCAAGACATACCTCATTAAACACTCCTCCAAAATGCCAGCTCTTAGCTTTCACATGATTTTTGACTACAGAAAAGAAGATAGAGCGATATTTCTGTTGCAAAGAACTCAGACCACAACAGGTCAGAATGTTTTTGACATGGATTCCTATTTGAAATCTCTGGGTTCATCTTGGGAATCATGTATAGGTGTTTGCACAACACCACTAAAGAACTATTATAAGGATCTAGTGGCAACCTGGTTGAGAATCACTGAAAAAGACATCTATTCCTGCTTTATAACTTTCTGTGACCTTTTTAAAGAGCAAAGGATTTGAGCAAATAAGACAGGTGAAATTTCAACGTGAATAACCCTATTTATTTAATAAATACAATATCATTTTATGGGATCCCAGCGATGGAACTCATATTTATATTTCTTAAAATGTACTTGTGAAATACTAGCTTTTAATTTAAAATGTAATTAAAGCAGAGAAACATATTTGGTTGTTGTTTCTCTGTATCCTTTAGACTACCCACAGTTCAAAAATTCTTCAAGAGGCACTCAAACCGGCCACAACTGTCGACCTTGGAAGTAACCTTCACATTCTTTTGGATCTACAAAAAAAAATTAACCAAATGAAACCAGAGTTTCAGGTGAGAAAATGGATTGTGTTTATGGGACGCAAGGATTTTTTGTGATTTCTCTTATTGAATCAACTATGCAGTTGGCTGAGATGCTGGACAAATCTTTCTTAGACCTGAGAAAAGGCACTTGATGCCCCAAGTTTGTCCAATAGCTCTCCAAAATATATAGCTGGTCCAATAAAAGGTAACAAAATAAATCCTTGCCTCTTGTATACTTCCTGGACCATCATGTCTACAACAATACTTCAACACTACTATATTTATGGGATTCAAGGAGAAAAAGGCTCTGAACATACAGGCTTATTGCTTACGTTGACTTCAGCTGGACTACACACACTGTTTATGTCTGCAAATTCATGCCATTTTATTTTATGCTGTATGTAGAGTTGTATGAATGGGCACACACACTGCCACTGCTTTCTGTGTAGTGTAAACTCAAAATGTCTCATATGATACTATCTGCACAGGGAAAGTGTTAATGTACAGAAGAAAGGCTAGCCTAGTGTGCAAAAACATAAAAAATTGTCTAGTTCCATACTTAGGAGCTGTATAGCTGATCAGACTGGGATGCTTTAGTGAGTTTCTTGCCTTCTCTGTATTGTATACCTGATTCCAGATGCACAGATTCACAGACGTTTAGGTCTGGAAGGGACCGCGTGAGATTATTCAGTCCAGCCTCCTT